TTGACATTAATTTTTAATGTTGATAATAAGTGGATAAATTTAATTAGATAATTAATAAATTAAAAATTCACTTTATCTTTTTAATATAAATTTATGATAAAAATATATATTGATTATATCTTCAAGGTGCAAATTAAAAAAATCTTTTTAATTAGTCAATTAATAAAATTAATTTTAATTTTAATTTTTAATTTATCTTAATAATAATAATATGTAATAAATCCAAAGATAAATTAAAAAAAACTCTTAATTTATTAAAAACAAAGGGAAAACTTACAAAAACATTTAAAAAAAAAAAGAAAAAGGGAAAAAGTGGAAAGATATTAATTATTGTGAATTAACAAAATAAAAAATTATTTTAATTTGGATTGTACAACTAAAATGATTAGATCAAGGGTAAACCCTTCTTATATTGAGAACTATTTTTTATTCAATAATTTATATTTTATAATGTATTATAATTCAAATTATAAAATAAGTAACTAAGCCTTCGAGCCTAATGTTTCGTCCCAAAACCATAAGTGTTTAGGTTTAATTGATTAAAAGTTTAACTCCCACCAACCTCTTGAAAAATACCCTCCATCTCCTTAATTTCCGATGTTCAAAAAAAATTATAACATAAGATTCCCTTAACAAAAATTTATTGTGCAATATATTAGAATGTAGGACATAAACCATTAAATGTAATGATCCCTTGAATATTAAGTAGTCCTTATAATTTAATGGTTTCGGCTTGCATAATCTATGATATCATTATTTAATTTCTTCCCAAGTATATTACTAAATTAAATCCTAATTAATTTTCTTCTTCTCATGAATGTTCAAAAAAAAAATTCCTAATTAATTTTCTTAGCACCTGTGGTGGGGCATTCTTTCCTAGTCTCTCGTTGCTTGTCCATGATTAATCCATTAAAAACTAATACTAGTAATTAATTAAAGTCCCCCAATAACATGCTCCCACAACAACTATAAAAGATCATTTAGCTACTTTTAAAACAACCATAAAAGGCCATTTAGCTACTTTTAAAAAGTATTATATAATTTAAATTATATTAAATTATATAATTTAAATTAAATAAAAAATTTTAATATTAAAATTGTCTCTTTATTTAATAATTTTTATTTAATAATTTAATATAATTTAAATTAAAAAAAAAAAAAGGTTACTTCTCTTAGCACTCATTGTTCGTATCTTGACTTTTAAATATGTATTATTACTTGCTTAAAAATTAACATTCACACCCCTTTATTTCCTCATTAATCTTTAGATCAAAGTCAGACTCGGAGTTTACGCGAAAAGTACTTTTAACATTTTTAATTTATAGATTATTATTTTTAAATTGCGATGGTGAAGTGGAAAGCTGGAGATCCGCATAAGCCCTAGGTTACAATTGAAGATCAAAGTCGATTATGAAAAAATGTATAAATTAAAGTTACAATCTTTTAGTGTTTAAAAGTATTGGGTTCGCTTCTAAGATGGAGAATATGCTATACATAAAAAGTGGGGGAAAAAAGGAGATCAGTAAATATATATATTCTTATAGAATAAAGTTTCATACTTAGCTTATTTTTCCACCATCAAAATTTGAAGAACATGAGAGCACTACGAGCTTTTTTGGGTAAATATGAGTCACCACTAGCTAGATTGCCATAACATTTTTGGGCTGCAGTGAGTTGTCTCACTGAATTGTATAATATTCTTTCTCTAGCTTATTTGGGACATAAGTTTATGGCATTGTTCTTCTTTAAAGTGAGGCCACTTTTTTTTTTTTTTTTTCCTTTCTTTTGTTCTCCTTATGGTGATGACCTCAGAAAGAGAACAGGATTTGATTCACTTGAAAATATATATAGAATCCAGCTGGGTTTTGGAAGCACAATGCAAGGCGAGCGTGCTAAGTGCCTTTGTTTAATGAGCTGCTCCCCCAGCAACAAATAAGTTTAAAACAGTTGGTACAATATTTTAACT